GTGTATACAAGTTATCCTTATAAAGTGCTATAATCCCTGTGTATACAAGTTATTTTTATAAAGTGCTATAATCCTTGTGTATACAAGTTATCCTTATAAAGTGCTATAATCCTTGTGTATACAAGATATCATTATAAAGTGCTATAATCCTTGTGTATACAAGTTATTCTTATAAAATGCTATAATCCTTGTGTATACAAGTTATTCTTATAAAGTGCTATAATCCTTGTGTATACAAGTTATCCTTATAAAGTGCTATAATCCTTGTGTATACAAGTTATTCTTATAAAGTGCTATAATCCGTTTAACAAGTATTTTACATCCATTATAACTTCATTTCAATCTTTAAAAAAAGACAGTTTTTATGAAATCAAAATGTTACAACAAATACTTTTTCTTGTCGATGAAGCTACCACGTTTACAGTACTTTACAATGAAGCTACCCTGTTTATTGTACTTTACAATGAAGCTACCCTGTTTACTGTACTTTACAGTGAAGCTACCATGTTTACAGTACTTTACAATGATGCTACCATGTTTACAGTACTTTACAATGAAGCCACTCTGTTTACTGTACTTTACAATGAAGCTACCATGTTTACAGTATTTTACAATGAAGCTACCATGTTTACAGTACTTTACAATGAAGCTACCATGTTAACTGTATTTTACAATGAAGCTACCATGTTTACAGTACTTTACAATGAAGCTACTATGTTTACAGTATTTTACAATGAAGCTACCATGTTTACTGTACTTTACAATGAAGCTACCATGTTAACTGTACTTTACAATGAAGCTACCTGTTTACTGTACTTTACAATGAAGCTACCATGTTTACAGTACTTTACAATGAAGTTACCATGTTAACTGTACTTTACAATGAAGCTACCCTGTTTACTGTACTTTACAATGAAGCTACCCTGTTTACTGTACTTTACAATGAAGCTACCACATTTACAGTATTTTACAATGAAGCTACCACGTTTACAGCATTTTGCAATGAAGCTACCATGCTAACCGTATTTTACAATGAAGCTACCATGTTAACCGTATTTTACAAAGAAGCTACCATGTTAACTGTATTTTACAATGAAGCTACCATGTTTACAGTATTTTACAATGAAGCTACCATGTTTACTGTACTTTACAATGAAGCTACCATGTTAACTATTTTACAATGAAGCTACCTTCTTTACTGTACTTTACAATGAAGCTACCATGTTTACAGTACTTTACAACTCAATGTCTACGTTTGTGTTTTCTTCTTCACTATGTAGATTATTTTTCTCTTAGTATTTTTAATATTGTGTTAATTTTTTTTCTTAGGTCATTTTCTGCAAAGCAAAAGCTGAAACTATTTTATGGTCTATACTGTTCAGTTGTCTTATAGTAATTTATCTACTTAAAAATATTTTTACATCTAAAAACATAATCTTATCTAAATTCTTGGTAGAGGTAAAGTTTGATTTCATAAAGAGATTAAGAGATTAACTAAGTGATTCATTCTGGAACTAAGCAGATTTTATGTAGAATAAAAAATATACATGATTTTTTTCAGAGGACTAATAACATACAGAATATGTTGGTTAATTATGTTTTTTGTTTTGTCTGGATTTCATGTGAAACTTCATGAAGGGTGTCTTTGTTCGATTTCCTCATACTGAAGATACAGACTAGAGCAATGTTTCCCAAAGAGGGAGCCGTAGGCCCCCTGGGGACTGCAAAGCTTTTATAGGGGGTCACTATGTTTTATTTTAGGTCGACTGTATATCAATTTGTAAATAAAATGTTTAATTCTTCATTTTTGTTACCATTTATTGGTAATCTTAAAACTTAAATTATAGGATTGCAGATTTTAAAACGAAAATAAAACAACCTTACATAAAATTAAGTGTGTATTTAATTGCCAATCAGTCTACATACTTAACCCAAACATAACAAACTGCTAATGGTCTAATTATAATACAGATAAATTGATAAGAAAAAGACCACATTAAATTACAAACATACAATTTAGAAAAAAAGTACATCATAGATATCATTCAAGTTAATTAGTAATTATTTTTTTGAAATTGATAAATCACATTTTAAGGCATTTTTATAGGTTGGGGGAGGGGGGGGGCACAAACTTTTTCATTCACACCAAGGGAGCCTCAGACTAAAAGAGTTTGGGAACCACTGGACTAGAGGGAAGGTTGTCAACAACACCCACAACCAACTCTTGTAAGACCTAATAATAAGATCTGACTCTCACTCTTATAACACACTCACAGCCCCCCAAAAAAAAACATAGTAAGGTGGTCGTTTCTTTCGAGATATACAGGATGCTAATGACAGAACTTTATCTCTACAGTCCAGTGTGTTAACTTATTAAATGAGATAGTTTCTAAGGCATACGCTGATCATTTTCATACATCTTTTAAATGTTTATATTATGAATATTACTTATGCATTAATTAAGGAAGAAAAGAAATCCTATGTTAAATCATGGTAAATGTTATCAGAAATAATGTCTTATCACATAAAGCCCCTTATCAAATGAACATTTGTCAAACGGTGAACTAGTAAACAGTACTGCTTAGCTTTGTGATGACAAAGTTCTCATTATTCAACGTTGAAGCATCACAAGTGCAAAGCTTAGAAATGGATGAATACTTACAGTGCTACCCATACGAGCTCCACGTGTGAACGAACAAACTGGTTCACTTTTGGTCTACAAATACAAAATGTGATTTAGATAACACATTTCCATCAGATAGCCATACATTGGAGTACATGGCAAAAAAAAAGTCATAAATCCAATTTCATACAAAGTTTTATGTCATACAAGCTTCGAGACTGGTTAACACTAACGGGAAACATGAAAACAATATTTAAGCTTTATCTTTGCTTATAAATCTTTACAAGGCTAACTTTATATTAAAAATACATTATGATAATACTAAACAAAATATTCAGTATTCAAGGAAAGTGCAATGAAAGAAACTTGAAATGACGTGAAAACAATAAAACTGAGGAAAAACAATGAATATAATTCATTTCTGAGATTAAATAAAAAAAACCTTGACACCAGACAATTGTAGCTTGAAATAAAAAATAATAATACATATAATTGATTTTTCATTAGTTCAAATGAATTTAGCTTTAACAATTTTTCTCAAAAAATTACGAGTTAAACATGAACAATTAATGCTACAAAAATAAGATATATAACCTTTGATACACAAAATAACATGTCATTGTTGTGGCTTATTTCTTGGAACTGGTATTTTACAGTACATATATTTTTCTTCAAATAAAACAAATTTGTAGTTACAAGGTACTTACTCAAATATGAAAAGACAAATAAAACCAACAGTAACTGCAAGCTGGACCATAAGGATTCCATAAACCTTCCGGATAAACCCTGTATAAAACACAATTCATTACTAAAGGATATACAGAACACAAATCACGTACATGAGTGTCTATCATTATGGTTAAAAACAATTAGGCCTAATGAATAGTTCTTTTACAAATGTAAGTGGCCGGAATGTATAAGAAATAACTGAATCGTAATAAGAATACAGGGAAGGAGCTGAACTGTAGCATCATAAGTGTTCTACATATGTTACCCACCAACTGCAAACCATAAACCTAAAGTGTTTTGTTAAGTCAATGGACAACACACAGGAGATTTGTGATACTATAGTTTACAATTTTCTGTGCAATTACATATAGGGTTAAACTTTTGAATAAAAGCATTATAAACATTATATAATTATGTACATAGAAAAATATAAACAAACAAGCAAGTTCTCTTAAAATACAT